CAAGGGGAGGATGTGAAGGGAAGGGGAAATATAGACTTATGATTTGTCATGTACAGGTACCAAATACCCACAATGAATGTAAACATGAATTAAAAATAACAGTAATAATGAAAATGGGGAAAGACGATCAGGAGATGGAGGGAGGAGGGTGGGGAGGGGAAGTGGGGGTTAAAAAGAATCAAGGCTGGGCATGGTGGCACACAACTATAGTCCCAGCACTGGGGAGGGTGAGGCAACAGGATGTTCCCAAGTTCAAAGCCAGCCTGGGCTCTGTAGTGAGTTCAAGGCAAGCTTGGATTACACAGCAAAACTCTGTCTCAAAAAAACCACCAAAAAAAGAATCAAAAGGTGTTACATATATACACGTACCTACTCCCTAAAATGAACGTAAACTTCATACTGCAAACATGTACTAGTAAAACTTTTAAAGAGAGAGAGAATGATCTCTATGCAGCAGACCTGCTGGCCATATGCCTTACCAGCATGGTGGGAGGCTGAGGCAGGAGGACCACCAAAGCACAGGCATTGCAAGCCAGCCTGAGCAACAGAGGGACTCCATTTCAAAAATAAATCACTGTGGCTATTATATTAACAGAGAAATGAGGAATAGTAAGAACAGGGTAAGCCGTAACCTCAGCACTTGGGAAGCTAAGGCAATCAGATCTCTGGGAGTTCAAGGTCAGGCTGAATTACATAGTGAGACTCTGACTCACAAAAGTTTAAAAAAAAATAGGGTATTAGCAAGGCAAGTGGTAAAAAGTAGTCAGATTGTGACATATTTTAGGGTAGATTCAATAGATTTCCTGATAGACATTAGGTACAGGTTTCAGAAAGAGGTACTAACAATAACTCCACTATTTGGTCTGAACATTTACAAATACACTGATTAGAACAAGGCAAAAAATGAGAACCAAGACCTGTCATGTAAAGGTACAAGATCCCAATAATGAATGTAACTGTACTGTATACCTAAAATGTACCAATAAACTCAATGAGGAAAAAAAAATAAAAAACAAAAAACAAATAAAATGTGATCAGAGCACATCTGGGAAGGAAAAGCACTATGTACAAACACAGTATGTGACATCTACTAAATATAAGATAATCAATTAGATATCACGCCCGGAGTTTAGGAAAAAGTAGGTTAACCCCATAAATTGGAATATATTTCTTAGCATCCAAAGACGTAAAGGTTTTCTTGTTGACTCTCTACTGATTTCTAGCATAGCTGCAATATAGCCTAAAACACACTCTAGAGCAGGGATGATAAACTGTTTCTGCAAAGGGTCAGGCCATAAGTATTTTAGGTTTTGCAGGCTACATATGATCTCTGCTGAATAATATTCTTTCCTTTTCATTAGTCCTTTAACATGTAAAAATTATTCTCTACTTGTGGTCATATAAAAACAAGCATGAGCTCTAGGGTAGAGCTACAGCTACACTGTCCAGCATGGAAGCCACCTTAGATGCATTTCCTTCACACACAGCACTGTGATACAGCACGATTTCAATCTCCTGAAATTCGCTGAGTATTGCTCTGTCTTAGCTCATATCTGTGATTCAAAATTTTTAAATGTAAAAATTTTAAAATCTAAGCAAAAAGATAAGGAGCAGCTGGAAAACAAAATCTAGTGCCAAGGGATGACAAGTTCAAGGAAAAACTGTCTCCGTCCCACCCTTGTAAAATGAAGACTGTATTTTGCTTCACAGAAAGGAGAGGAGTTGCAATGATGCATTTGCTTGGGTCTTCTGTCCCAACTTAAGCCCCAATGTCGCGTCCCTATATTACTAATACTTAACATTTATCTAGTAAGTACTAAGTGCCAAGCACTGTTCTAATTTGTACTCACTAACTGAATGCTCACAGCATATGAAGTCGACACTATCTTTTACACATGAAGGAAATGAAGCACACGAGAATAAACTCACCCATGCAAATCGCTGATAAGTGGCAAAGGCAAAATTAAAGCTCAGGGAATCCAGTTTAAAAATCTGTATTTTTTTTCTTTTTTTTTTCAGTACCAGGGATTGAACCCAGGGCTTTTGCACTGAGCTGTATCCCAACACCCCCTCACCACCACCATTTTGTTCTGTGACAAGAATGATGCTAAGTCATTAAGTTACCCAGCCTGGCTCAGATTTTTTCATTTACTTTTTTGGTTTCATTTTTTATTTTTCTTAGTACATTTTTGCAGTACGTAATGACTACGTTCACTACACATTTTAATTCTTTTTACATTTCCTTCCTCTCCCCTCTCCCTTCTACACCTTTGTCGCCTGGTCCCCCTATGGGCTCAGATTTGTGATCCTCCCACCTTAGTCTCCCAAGACGTGCTCACTCAGTAGCACTTCTTTTGTTCCACGTAAACAGAAGAGACTACATCTGGAATAACCTGGTCTTTCCAATGACAAACTCTCTGCTGCCCTGAAAATGAAGACTCTTCTCTAGCTCTACCATTTTTTTTTTTTTTTTTACCAGGGATTGAATTCAGGACCTTGCGCTTGCAAGGCAAGCGGCAGAACCACTGAGCTAAATCCCTGGCCTCTAGATCTACCAATTTTATTGTCATGTCTATGTGGTGGACATCTGCTTTTCGTCAGTCCTGCACTAATTTCCTATAGCCTCTTATCTGGTGTTATGTTTATACAACCCTGTCTCTCCTATATGAAATCTGTTCCATGCTATTGAGCTGGGGTTGACCCCAGGACACTCCCTGAAGGGCATCCCGACCAGGGCAATGTGACCACTCCATTACCCCAGGTTATACTGACTGGTGTGACAACGACCACAGAGCCCAATACCTAGCTAATCGTCCCTATTTAAACTCTCATAGCGTCGTCTCCTGGCAAACCATGAACTTTAAGGACAATATATACTTGGGGCAAATACTTTCCTGCCCCCATTGGAAGCCTACCCAGAGGGAAGCAGAGGAAAGAGGGGAAAAAAAAAAAGAGCTCTGACAATCACACAAACACCAACCAGAACCAAGATCTGGTCACACTATGTGGCTATACAAATCAATAAACTCCTTTTTGTTGGTTTAAATGGAGTTGCCTTTGTTTTGAAAGACTCTCATTTGTGTTTCTCAGACTTTGTTCAGGCTGTAGGCGCTGACCTTCCAAAAGCTATTCACTTTTCAACCAGGCGTGGTGGTGCACGCCTGTAATCCCAGCACTCGGGAGGCTGAAGCAGGAGGATCGCTGTGAGTTGGAGGCCAGCCCAGGCTAAATAATGAATTCCAGGTCAGTCTCAACTATATAGTGAGACACTGTCTCAAAAAAACAAAAAAACAAAACAAAACAAAAAACACTTTTCAAGGCTAACATCACTGTGGCCCCTATGAGGCATTTGCAAATTAATCAGGCCCATTCTTACTTCCTTTTATTCTTAGGTTCTAGCAGATAGTAAACATGAACTTTCGCATACTCTGAATAGCTCTTGCATACTCTAAAAGTAGTCATTACTCTTAGATATCTGCATCCCTTCCCATCTCAATGCCTCTGTTATACTGCATATTTCATAGCCCTTATCTAAAATGCTTAGGATGAGAAATGTTTCAGATTTTGGTTTTAGTTTTGTCTGATTTTGGAGCATTTGTACAGACTTTACCAGTTGAGCATCCCAAATCTGAAATATACTATAATTCAAATTTCTGAGCAACACCTCAGCACTCAAATATTTCAGATTTTGGAGCATTTTGGAATTCAGATTTCTAGATCAGGAAAATTTAGTCCATATCCAGATTCTCCAAAAAGATCTTGACCTCTGCCCTCCCAACCAGAAAGACTTCACATTCTTAGAAACCTACAGTATTTCATCAGTTCTTTTTAACAACGAATACTTGCTATCTTCTGCCAAAATTAAATTATTTCCTCTTTTAAGGGAAGGGTTTGCATCTTTTTTATGTTTCACTTTACCTTGCCCTTCTGTACATATTTGCACTACTATACAACTTAAGGAATATATTTTAAAGAAAACATTTTATGAAATATAATCTAGACCTGAGTTAAGTGCTATGAGAATTAAAAGTACCATAAATTATGGTCATCTCCCAGAATGCAACTGTCCTATGTTCCCAGACAGACTGAACATTCAGTAAGGCTACATATACTGCATATATTTAAGGTCACAATAGTGCCCAACTTCAAGTTAGGAACCCAATAAAAATATGCACACTTGCCAGGCACAGTGGCATAACCCTCTAACCCCAACACTCTAGGAGTACCGCAAATTCACAATCAGCCTGGGTAACTTAATCTCAAAAATAAAAAAGGGCTAGAAGGGTTATAATCCCAGCACTTAGCGGTCTGAGGCAGGAGGATGACCATGAGTTCAAGGCCAGCCTGGGACTACACAGTGATTTCAAGACCAGCCTGAACTATATAGCAAGACTCTGTCTTTAAAAAAAAAAAAAAAAGTAGTGTCAGGCCCTGAGTTCAATCACCAGTATCAAAAATATACACTCGGGCTGGGGATTTAGCTCAGCGGTTTGGTAGCCTGCCTTGCAAATGCAAGGACCCGAGTTCAATCCCCGCTACAAAAAAAAAAAAATACACACACACACACACACACACACACACACTGATTTCCACTAAGGTGTTAAGTTTTCTTGACTGACAACATTAATTACACTAATTACATTAATAGATGTCTTAGTGTGGGGACTGTGGTAATTCATTCTAATACAATGAATTGTAGAGTTGTTTTAAAAATGAAATTCATTTTAACTCAAAATAATTTAGTATCTTTTTTCAATTAAACAGTGACTTAGGGCTGGAGATTTAGCTCAGTGGTACTGCACCTTCTTTGCACGTACAAGGTTCTGAATTCTACCCCCAGTATGGGGGTGGGGGGACAAAAAAACAAAAACAGTGACTTACACACTAAAAATTACAAATACATATAAATTTTAATTAATCTAAATCTTTTTTTAAAGAGAAACACATCTTTTCGAAAACGTTTTCAGTATTGACTTGAAAAAACACGATGAAAAACTAACCTCAGGTCCTGAATGTACAGTCAGATAACTTTCCACAGCAGTCAAAGTACCTAAAAGAATAGAGCAGTAAAAGAAAAACTGACATTATTTAACTAGGACAAGCAATAAACTATTCTTATTCACTCAGGGACTTTTACTAAGCTTGATAGAGAAGAAAATCTGTACAGGTGACAGTTTTATTATGTTATTATACAGACTTATGAAGCAGGTAAGGCCAGGTAAGCTGCTAGAAAGTTGAGTTTACCATAAACTATAACTGCTGATACTGACATCTTTTCTAGTACTTAAATTGACAATATTAAGAATCTTCCCCAATGAGGCAACAATTTACCTAATTTATTCTGGAAGGACCAGCACAAAATTATTAAAATCAGATCCATGGCAATTATTCTCTCTTTTTTTTTTTTTTTTTTTTTTTGGTACCGGGGATTGAACTCGGGTCCTTGCGCTTGCAAGGCAGGCCACCAAACCACTGAGCTAAATCCCCGGCCCTACATGGGAATCATTCTTGCTTCAAATATAACAGCTTTCAAGGGCTTATTAAAAATGGTTCACAACAAATGTAAAAAAACTCCTAAAACACCTTTTGATGACTTATAAAATATTTAAAACAAGGCTGTTAAAATAAAAATATAAGTATAAAATAAAAATTGAAATCCAAAGCCCCCCAAAAGGGGAGAAATCAACTGCAGAAACCATGAAAACTTGATATATAGAACAATGGCTAGATATCTAACAGTTGAGTTTCTCAAAAATATAAGGAAAAGAAAATCGAATGATTCTCAAAATTTGACAATTAAAAAAAAAATATATATATATTTATATATATAATTTGCTTAGGAAATATTGTTCCTGGTTTTAATTCCAAAAGAAAATTAAAGGGCCAGGGATTTGGCTCAGTGGTTCCCCTGTCTGCCTCTCAAGTGTAAGGCCGAGTTCTATCCCCAGTACCAAAAAAAAAGAATCCAAAAGAAAATTAAAGCATTGGGCCTTGACAACAAATATGCATGTCATCACAGGACACTACCGCACAGCTACAGCCACATAAATAAACGCTGCTGGTCTGCCCACTGCATAGAGAATACGCAGAACGTTAAGATGTTTGAGAATGTGGCCTGTGTATGTGAATCTGTGCTCTAATCTGATCCACAGAAAGAACATGGGCCACCTAAGTTAGTGTACAGTGATAAAATGCGGACCTCTATTAAAAATCAGGTGAGCTGGGGATCTAGCTCAGCGGTTCCGCCACCTGCCTCGCAAGCGCAAGAACCTGAGTTCGATCCCCGGTACCAAAAAAAAAAGAAATCAGCTGAGGTACTTGTTATATTTTGACTTCTAGGTTTTCAGTATCTGGAAAAAAACTTCGAAACAACCTTAGTCATACTTCTCATGAAGAAAACCTATTCAAAAGAAAAACTATCAAATATTTAGGAATAACCTCAATAAAATACATATATGGCTACCATAAAGAAAAAATAAACTTCAGACTCTAAAGATTTTTGTTTCAGTGCTGGGGACAATCCAGGGCCTTGTATATGCCAAGCAAGTGCTCTACCAGTAAGCTACATAACTGACCCAAAACCTTTTAACTCTATGTGTAAACTGTACCTTAAAATACATTAACTTCTAAACAAAAAGTCTGAATTTATATTGGTTACCAAAATTTTTTCTAAGAAATGTGAGAGCTCTAACCATAACTAAGATAAAACATTGGACAATTTCTCATTTTAAAACACTTATACTAGTATCTGTATCTCAGCAAGTCAATAACAGCATTTTATTAAAGGTGGGGTTATGTTAAAAACAAAGTACAGTATTGTTTCAATATTGCCCACTTATAGCTGTTTCTTTTTTCCAACTAGATTTTAGCTCACCACAATTAGAAACACAAAGCTCTTTTATTTTCAAATTCAAGTACTGCTTATTGAACAATAATTACCATTCATTTTATTTCTGGTATATATCACTCCCAGATCCGCTGGAATGGAGTCAAAGCCACTGCTTCCAATGATGTAGGCCCCCTTTTCAGCAGCTTTCTCATGATACTTCCAATACATTAGCTCCAGAAACTAAACAAATCCAGAAAAAGAACTGAATCAGCATTTACAGAAACACCTAGACCAATACATGACAATTTATCTTTAAAGAAAAAGTGAAAAATGCTAACCAAAATGGCTCTACAGCAAAATATTAACTGTCAAATGTTTTTTTCATTTATTCCGCAATGACTGTATGCCAATATGTATGCCACTAAGTGTAATGGTTCTGTTTTTTATGAATTTTAAATGTAAAAATATTATAAAAATTAAATACAGGAAGAAATAAAAACAAAACACTTTCTGGAGTGAGATCTCAGTATTGTTTTCACTTGCATCTCTTGAATGCCCAATGGTGTTAAACCTTTTTCCATATATTTATTTGTATTTCTTCATCTGAAAAGTATATATTCATTTCAGATGCCCATTTTTTGGACTGGACCTTTAAATATGGGGGACTATGATTTTTTGAGTTCTAAGTGAAATAAATCAGACACACATGTATACTGCAGTTTCTCTGGTGTGAGAAACTGAAACTGTAAATAAGGACTAAAAGGTATAATAGATATTGTGAAATAGGAAGAAAATGTTCAAATGGGAAGCAGAACTAGGGAGAAGAAAGGGAAAAGGAAGGAAGATTAAAAATGAGAAAAGAAGGAAAAAATAGAAACAAAGCTTTTGTAAATAAGGAGGGGATGAAGGGTTGACGAATGAGAGAAAAGAAGACTCAAAATATATTATGTACAGATACAAATTCCCTCTGATGAATGTGATCATTACGTACATCTAAATTGCACCGATTAAAAAGTGCCAATAAATTTAAAACAATAAACACTTAAAATTGCATTACCCAGATGAACACCATTACATATATCTCTACATAGAGATAAAAGGGAGGAAAGATGATGAGAAAAGAGACCCTGGGCCTTTATCGGGCTTTTTGAGCTGTACTTATATATGTTTTGTTTTGCTTGATGGTGCTGGGGACTGAACCCAGAACTTCATGCATACTCAGCAAGCATTCCACCACTGAACTACACTCCTGGCTCTATTAGGGGGGGTTAGATATACTTTTATGGTAGTTTGTGGGATAACTTGGAAGCTTTTCATCATTTTTATGCTCCAGGTTACTTTGAATAATATAGAAAACTTTTGTCTAATTCATGTTTTCTACCTCGAGTCAATTTTGGTAATTTATACTTTTCCTAGTATTTTTACATATATATTACCAATTGATAACTTCTAAGTACAGATTCTACTGGCACAATAACGGCAATAATGAGACTACAGAAACGTGATTTATCATTTGAAAGGTGATAATGCTACACAACTTCCTATAGGCGGGCAAACCTCAAGTCCCAGTTGTATTCACTAGGTGTGTGACAGAGCAAGATATTTAACCTTGCTAAACTTTCATTTCCTCATCTATAAAATAGAAAGGAAGATAACTACTTTATAAGTATATTTTCAAAAATTATATAGAAGTTTTAGCACAGTGTTGACAAACACTTAATAAACATGAACAGTAATTTCACACAGGCTAAGCACAAACTCTATTGCTGAGCTACACCTAGCCACGCAGTTTTTGAGCCAGCTGTGGTGGTGGACACCTATAATCCCAGCACTCTGAAAGGCTGAAGCAGGAACACTGCAATTTAACCAGTTTGGGTAACAGGGACTTAGCAAGACTGTGTTTCAAAATATAAGAAGGATTGGGAATGTAGCTCAGTGAAAAGGTCCTGCATTCAATGCCCAGTACCACAAAATAAACAAATAAATAAGACTGGGAGATTTTACATTGATTATTCTGTAATATTTGTGAATGTACCTGATTCTAAAAATTACACATAGCTTTTTTTTTTTTTTTTTTTTTGGCACTGGGGACAGAATCCAAGGCCATCCCATTCAGCTGTATCTCCAGCCCTTTATTTATTTTCTATTTTGAGAGAGGGTCTCACTGAGTTCCCCAGGATGGGCTCAAACTTGTGATACCTCTGCCTCAGCCTCCCAGAGTGCTGGGATTATAGACATGTGCCACCATACCTGGCTAGTACAGTATTTTCATTAATTCAGCTTAAAGCATTCAGTAAAAATCAGCACATTCCATATAAAAAGAGAATAACTGAGGTTGTGATAAAAAAAAAAAAAATTCAAGAAAGCTAAAGCTAAGACCTGACCATCAGTACTATCAATGGGATTCCACAGGAATACTCCTCGGGATACTAAGTAGTAGCATCAATTTCAAAATGTGACTATAAAACTGAACTAAAAATTTCCACTTCATTAAACAGAAAATGTGTGGTTAATTCCGCTTTTCCTTTTCTATTTTCCATACCTCAGGTTCCCCACAGATGTCAATACAGCTCGTTCCATTTTCAATACATGCTTTTACCACAGGTTCTCCATAAAATCGATACTAGGGGAATAAAGAAAACCAACAGGTTACTCTTGCATGGGAAGCTTTATTCAACCAAATGTCATTTGTCCTGGAAATATAGTCTTTGTTATCACAAAATCAAATGCTGTAACAAAAAACAAACAAGCCAGGCATGGTGGCACACGCCTGTAATCCCAGCACTTGGAAGGCTGAGGCAGGAGGATCACTGTGAGTTCAAGACCAGCCTGGACTGCATAGTGAGACCCTGCCTCAAAAAAACAAAAAACAAACAAAAAAAGCAAAATCAAATGCTAATGAAGTAGCTTAAAGATAAACTGACAAAATAAGGCACCTATACTATTCCAGCTATCACAGTATAAATAATAAAGGTATGATGGAATTACAGAGGAATACATATTTACCTCTAACAGAAAACAAGATGCAAAGTTTTATAAAAGTAGTCATTTGCATGAGTTGAATTTTGATAAGGATTTTCCAAGAAAAAGAAAAATTCAAATAAAGGAAAAAGTATACGTAAGGTTGTAACCTGACACACAAGTGTTTGAGGAGAAAGTGGCGAGAGGTTAGCCTGGAAAGAGATAAAGTACTAGGGCCTACACCTGGCACAGTGCTGCACGCCTTTAACCCCAGCACTTGGGAGGCTAAGGCAGGAGGATTACCATGAGTTTGAGACCAGCCTGGACTACATTGTGAGTTCAAGGTCAGTCTGCTGAACTACACAGCAAGACCCTGTCTCAAAAAATAAAGTACGAGGGCCTAATGGGGAAAGACAATGAGTACCTGCTAACAAGTTTGCACTTTATCTTTACTAGATAAATAGGCACACCTGCGGCATTCTTTGAAATTAGTAACTATTGGTGCAAGTTTGCAGTATTTAATGCCTATATTCCTCATGGGGAGTTGGTACGTGCACATAGCTAACACATCTTCATTTTTTCAATTTTTTTTCCTGAAGGATTTTTAAACAGGACAGTGATGTAAGGTTTATAGCACAGACATATCACTCCAACTGTGATACTGGAAAACAAAGAAGGCAAGTGAGAAAGGCTGAAGGACTAATCTGAAGGGCAGATCGTACTAAGGACGACATACTACAAATCAAAAGTGACAGATTTCCTGATTAGTGGGGCTAGACATGGAGATTCAAAGCACTATTAGCAAAAATAATAATAATAATTTTTTTTTAAATAGGAGAAAGTCTGAAGAGGTAAGTTTAAAGCTAGCTACAATAGACATTCCGAATCTATGATATCAGATTGCTCAAGTTACTTTTTGCTCAACCTCAAGGAACTACAATAAAAATGACACTGTATAATAGTTATTACATCAGGATTCAAGCCATCTTAAAAGAAGCTGACCAATCTTTCCCTCTGTGAAGGTAGGGTCAGAGGAAACACACATTCCAAAGATGGAGAAAGGAGATCATTTTTTTCTTCTATCCAGCCACTGAGATGCAAGTAAAGAGACACTTTAAATGACAGGACACTGACTTTTACAAGTATGTAGATCTTTTCCTCGCTCCCTACCCTCACTTCCACAGCCTCGGTCTTGTTAAGAACAGCAGGTAGGGATGTGAAGGCAATCTGGCTGCAGCATGTCATGCCACTGATCACCACGGCTGATTCAGCTGACCTGGCTGGTTAGGCAGGTGTCTCTTCCTCCTTCCCCACTCCACCTACTCCCCTAACTCCAAAGACAATGTGTGTGTCAGTGACTTCCAACCTCTAACTCCAGAGCTGCTCACTAATAAGGGTCCCGTTTCTGTGGTTTGTTAGAAATATTAGGACCAAGTAGAACACAGGACATGTGCGATGACACACACATAAAGCTTACTTCATTTTGGCTGCATTTTCCCAGCTTTTATTTCCTCTTCACCCTGATTACCTCACTTATTTTAAAGAAAACAAAAAACAAAACAAAACAAAAAAAACCTCTAACACATTGTGTTTCTTGTCTTAATACAAGTGTCTGTGTCTATAGACACCTCAGCCTCGACAAATCTAAAACTGAATCCAATGGGTTCTCACTAAACCCGTCACTCCTCCTTCCTAGCACACAGAGGAGAGGGGAGGAGAGGAGCGCGACTGCCTGGGCCCCTCTCCTAACATCCTTTCCAGCGTACTAAATGAGAAAAGACTCAGAGACAAAGTTGTACAAATGGCTGAAGAGCACAGCAGCCCAGAGCACAAGATTTCAAGTCAGACCAGATTTAACCCAGGGCTGGGGGCACTCACTGTGTGACCCTGGGAAGTCACTTGCCATCTCCTTACTGACAAAAATGAGGGTGATAACAGCACCAACTTCACCGGGCTGTTCTGATGATGAAAAGAACCACAAGAGCTCAGCATAGTGCCAGGGACAAAAGAGGCAGATTTATTCTTCCGTTGTGATTAGGGCCATCCCTCCCAGAGCTGCCTTCAATCCAGCAGGTCTAGAGTCACAAGTTTTATAAAATCAGCACACTGAAAGCATCCCCTCAAAATATCTCAACTCGGTCATTTCTCTACACATCCACCTCTTAGTCCAGATCTTGCCACCTCACATCTAATTTGCTACTAAAATCCAACTAGTTTCACTGCTTTTTTCATTCCTAGGACCAGTCTAGTCCCATTTCCAAGGAAATACCAAACTATTATTTCAAAACAAAAATCTGGCATCATCTTTCCTTCTGCTTCCTGCCTGTTACCACTCTTATCCCCCATTAGCTCTCCAATGCCTACATCATGTAATATAAATTCTTTTAATTTTTTGGGGGGGTACCAGGGATCAATCTTGGGGCCTTGTGCTTGTGAGGCAGGCAGCGGCACCACTGAGCTAAATCCCCAGCCCTCTTTTTTTAATTTTGAGACAGGTTCTTGCTATGTAGTTCAGGCTGGCCTTGAACTCATTATGTAGCCCAGGCTGGCTTGAACTTGCAGCAATCCTCCTGCCTCAGCCTCCTGAGTGCTGGAATTACCAGTGTGTGCCACCATACGCCATTATGCAGCACAAAGTCTAAGCTTCCCAGCATTTCAAAGCTCTCAAGCATCATGTCACATCACATTCCCTCATTCCCCATGCCCCAGCTCTGAACTCCCTGTAACTCCCTAACGTGCTGCTGCTTCACACCCAGCGTTTGTTTCTACATACATGGAATATCCACCCGCTCTTCCACACCTGCCTAACTTCAAATACCTCCAAGCTCAGCCAATCTGTTTATTTACAGGTACTGGCAAGCTGCAGTAAAGCATTACTGAACTTCATAAAAATAGCAGTTGCTCATGGAAAGGGTACACATTTTCCTATTTGTCACAACCTACCCATTATTTTGTTACATCTTACACACTTCACTGGCTAATTTTAGGTCGAAACTTCCTATTATTAAATTATCCCTATTCTATTTTATTATACTTTTAGATTTTCCCTTGCCTTACGCTCATATGAGATAAATGGTAAAAATCAGAGTAACAAAGCAGATAATTCTTGCTCATTTACACATGCCCAACAGATGGGCTTCAGTTCTGAGACCTCAGGCATTTAGAGGGGGAAAGACAAAAAGATCCAACATGGGAGATAAATGAAGATGACAGACAGGAGGAAAACTAGGAGAAAGTGAGAGTCGAAAAACCAAGTAAAGAAAAGAGGACTGGATCGAACGCTGAGAGGCTAAAGATGAGGACTGGATTTGACAGGATGGGACTTGCCAGACTATTTTATTGAAACAGTGAGGATAAAAGCCTGACAAGAGTAGTTTAAAGGCCAGAGATTTAGCTCAGTGATACCGCCGCCTACCTCATAAGCACAAGGACCTGAGTTCCACCCACGGTACCAAAAAAATAAAAAAGAGTAGGTTAGAGGCAAGACGAGTCAGCATGCTACATGTTTTTCTCCAGCCACCCTGTGATACTTGTGTTCATGTAAAGAGTTAGAGCCAGAATAATTAGCGCTGGGTTTGCCTAGAGTATTGGAGGAAGACAAAGGAGCATGGCTGACAGTGTATGCACCAGAGGGATTACAGAAGGCTACACAGTGGAGGGAGTCTATGCTAGTGAAGGGGATAAACCTAAATAAACATTTAAATTGCATATACATTTAATATAAAATATTCCTGCTTTCCATTTTAAAAATTATTAATGTTTTAGATGCTTTGTTTTCAAAAGTCTCCCCAATTCTGATGGCTTTTACAGATCAGTAAATGATCCCAACATTCACCTCGTTGTAGGCTAAGTCTGAAAGTCCTCCTCTAGGCCTCTTCTTACATCCATTGTAAGAGCAAAAGCTACTCTCCTTTCAAAATATATTGAGCCCAAGCCGGACCTTGTGATGCACGCCTGTAATCCCAGCACTCGGGAGGCTGAGGCAGAAGGATGTCTGTGAGTTCAAGACCAGCCTGGGCTACATAGTGAGTTCCAGGTCAGTCTCGACTACATAGTGAGACCCTGTCTCAAAAAGAAACAAACAAACAAAAAATATATATATATTGAGCCCAATCTCTTCCTACCACTTCTATTGCTCTTCCCTAGTGCTAGTCTTGCTTGGAGCATGCCACTGTTGGTCCTTATTATCCATTCTTCCTCTAAGAACAAACTCAAAATTAATCAGCTCACACCTGTTTTCAAACATTCAATGACTCCTGGTCATTCTTAAGAGGAAAATCCAAGTCCTGCTGGTGGCCTGCAAAACCGAGCTCCTGCACAACTCTTCAGTCCACCCCCACCTCCCAGTCCTGCTCCCAGGCTCAGCTACACTGTCTCCTCTCACAGCCCCGTCTTGCCAAGCACACTCTCACCTTGGAACCTGCGTATTTGCTCTCCCTGAGACATTTTTCAAAAATAATCATGGCCTACCCCCTCCCTTCCTTCCTATCTCTGCTCAAATGTTGATTCGTCACTGAAAATTTCCCCATTTACCTAAAAGAAACTTATGTGCCAATCTATCGTTGCTCTGGGTCATTTCTCCTCCAAGAACTTAGCATCATCTATCCCTATAGTCCTATTATTCTTCCATCTGCCCACAAGGATGGAGCTTCACAAGGGATTTTCTGTTTGTCCGCCATAGTGCCCCAGCTGCCTGGAATGCTGCAGTTTATAGAGCAAGCATTCTATATTTACTGAATGCTTTTTTAGTTTCTATCTTTTTATACTTTAAGCATATATATTTGTAGAATAATACAGGAATGCTATAATAAAGGATGAATACTCAAACTTTTTTTTTTTTTTTGTACTGCAAGGAAATACAGGAAAAAGTCTGGACATCACAGCTGTAACCAATGGACAAACAGGCTCATGATTCCCTGGGTGCAGTAGCTCTGAGACCCTGTTTCAGGGGCCTGTGGTCACGTAGTTGTTCTTCACTAGAAGAAAAACTCCCCATATGGGGTTAAGATTTTCAACCAATCCTTCTGTCCTCTGCCCTTATGTTCCTCTGGGACACAGTGTGAAATACCAGCTCTTGCTAAAACTGAATGGAATGTTTGTTGTGCTAGAAAGAAGGGCTGATTACTTACAGGTCCCACGCAGTTGAGGACAACTGTTGCCTGTTTAGCCATTTCATCAAGGGAGGCTGGATTAGTGATATCACAAATTATTATCCCAACTTCTGATGATAAGGTCGGTCTTCCTAAAATATTAAAAAAATTTATATAAAGCAAATCCTAGTACAATATTAGAGACTCCACAACTACTTTTTATAGTAATCAGAGACCGCAAATTTACTAAAAATATGAATATAACAAAGCTAATGCTCACTCTCAAATTACAAATAAACATTTTTAATCAGGCAATAAAAAAGGAAAAAGCTAGGGGGAAAAATGGAGTCAATGCTAAGGGTTACTTAAAAAAAATCACTAACCTTTGAAGATTCTAAAACACGCAATGTTACAATTCTGTGTAACATGACCATTTTAAGGTGCTCTGATCAAGTTTAGATGCTAAGTAGATGACTGCCCTGACTTCTCTACCAAGAAATTTATATTATGAATTAAAAATAATTCTCATCAACTTCTAAACAATTACAGGGATCCAATTATAGAGGGTGGAGGGAGACTGTCAACCTCAATACCATGAGAACAAAAACGACTCTGAGGAGAGTCCACTTCTAAATCGTCCAATCTAGATAACATCACCTAGGCTAATAAGAAAATAATTGGAATTAACAGGCCCAATAAAGGAATGCAGGTTTTGACCGGACAAGATATATTCCCCACAATGTGAGCACTAGAAATGGTAGATACATAGGCTGCACCTGTATGGTCTTGCTGATCAGGAAAAAGAAATGGAATAGTTATTTTTATAGTGAAATTATCTTTTTTGGAAAAATAAAGCCCAAAAGCTCTTTGCTCAAAATTCTGTGTTGGTGGTGGCACTACGAGTTGTAGGAGAGCCATCAACTATATATAACCACAAAAGATTCTATATTCGTGCTATACACAAGGGAGTTAAAAGAATAAACATAAAGAATGCATTATACCCAGAGCTCTATCGGGCGATATCTGCCTGTGTGAGGAGACTCTAAAGTGGAGAAGATCCAATTTCAAGGCTATGGAGTCCTAAGTTAGCATCTCCCCAGATGGCAAAGGCAGGGTCTGAGCGTGCCTCCTTCCGCTTCCCCGTGTATATTCACAAGCACTTAGGACAGATCCCGGGGTGGAAAAGACCTCTCACTAAATATACAATGAGTGGGCGCTGAAAGAGTAAAAAAAATCCAAACCTGATATTTTTTTAAAATGAAGAAGACTACGGAAGGATTCGTGCAAGCAAAAACAAGTAAAAGGCGCCGAAGGTTTGGCGCAAAGGGTTTGGGAGTGTGGTTCAGTAGTGGAGCACGTACTTTGCAGGCAGAGAGACCCTAGGTTCAACCCTCATCAACATAAACAAACAACCCTACCAGTAAAATTCCTCATCTTTCTCTCCCACTCTCCAAATAAGGCAAAGGGAAGAAGTAACTCAAAACCCCCTTTCCCTGTCCAACCTAGTTTCAGGAAACCTCAAGCCACTGGGGAGCCAGCCCCGCCGTAAAATGGGACGAAGCGAACAAAGGCCACTCCAGTTCTTCACCCTCGGGACAGTGGGGCTCCCCACGCTAAGGCGACCTTCAAACGCGGCGGGGCAAAGAAATCTTTACATTTCAGTCTTTAATTTGGGGGTGGACAAAGCCACGACCACATCTGAAACGGCCCTGTCCTCCCTGGGCAGAAGCGCGGGGGAGGAACTCGCGCCGGGCCTCGGGCCGGCCGCCTGTTTACCCAGCTTCAG